GGTTTGTGACCCAAATTCATTTAGGGTTTACTTGATTTAGTGTATTGGGCTTTGAAGGCATCTAAATAGGGTCCATGGAGGAAAAAGGATTGACGGCGCTAGCCTCCACTAGCTGGATGCTCGAGCGGCGAGAATAAATCTTTAGCATCGAGCTGTCACCAGCCTACCACTCTTCGGCGCTTGAGCGTCATACCATTCTGGGTTTTCCTTATTTTGTTTATTACACGCATTTTTTGACCTTGTTTCTATTTTTAGGGCTATCATTAGGGTTTGGCATGTATCCCTATATATAATTAGCTTCTCTTCATAGTTAGAACATGGTTTTACCTCATTATTACCGTAAGTTAGAATTGTGTAACAATACAATATTGATGTAATTTCTCTTTCTATTATTAGAGAATAAAATCTCCAAGTACTCGGCCAAATTAAATTAATGTTTCTTGTGTTCTCATTGTTTGCGATCAATACTTCATATCGTATCAGATACCTCGTCCCGTCCCCAACAAGTGGTATTAGAGCATACAAATCTTTGTTCGGTTTCTAACAAGTGGTATCAGAGTTTTGGTTTGATTTGTTCGAGATTTCTTATTTTTTATGGCAATTATGAAGTATAACATTCCGCTTTTGGATCACAACACTAGATTCTCGTTGTGGCAAGTGAAGAGGCTAACAATACTCGCTCAAATGAATTTGGATGATGTGTTGTTAGGAGTTGATAAGATGCCCACAACTTGGACTGTAGAGGAGAAACAACGAAAGGATCCGAATCTACTTTTACAAATTCATTTTCATCTTTCGAATAATATTTTTTTAGGACATTTTGAAGGGAAAAAACCGCAGATGTGTTACAGTCGAAGTTGGAATAATTATGCATGACCAAAAGTCAAACAAGCAAATTGCACCTGAAGTAGAGATTGTATTCTCATCACATGATGAGGGCGGGTCATTGGACGATCACCGGATGGTTTAAAGAAATAGTTGCTAATTTGGAGACTTTAGAGGTAAAGTATGATGAAAAAATTTGACCTTAATTCTTTAGTGATCATAGACCACTTCGTTTACATCATTTAGAGACACAATTTTGAATAATCGTGATACTCTCACCATTGAAGATGTGTACGATGTTTTGTTTTCCAGGGAGAAGATAAAGCATTTGGTTGGATATGAGGCTAGAGATAGAGAAGACCTTGTTGTTCATAGTATTCACGAAAGGGGTCGGTCGAAATCTAATTTCAATAATCAAGTTTGTTTTTATTGTAAAGAGAAATGACACATTAAGAGAGATTGCAACGAGTTGCAGAATAAAGATAAGTTAGCTGCAAATCAAAAGGGAAGTCATAAATTAGATTCTTCAGTTGAAACCAATGTCGCATAGGACTATTTGAGTGATTGAGACATGTTGGCTATTTCTGATAGAGACTCCAATCTCGATGATGATTGGATTCTTGATTCAATTTATGATTTTCACATATGTTTCAATCGGAATTTGTTTTCAACATATAAAACAATTTTGAAATGTGTTATGGTCATGGGAAACAACGTACTTTGTCGAGTAGTTGGTATGGTAGAGTCAGACTTAGGTTGTTGGATGTGACATTTAGAACACTTGATCTCGTTCGGCATGTTCCAGAATTGAAGAAAAATCCATCTCATGGCTACTCTTTATTCAAAAGGGTATAAGTTCGTTGGTTGTGGCTGAGCTTTAAAAGTTTGCAAAGGTGTCCAGGTTGTATTAGAGTGCAGAAGAAGTCCCAACTATACATCTTGTAAGGTCGTGCAAAATCTGTAAAAAGCAATTAGCAAAGTTTTAGTACCGTAGTGGATATTCAGTTTGGTACAGTATCGTTGGGATTCGGTTTAGGTCCATGTTGCAGATTACAACTCAGTCGAGTTAAGAGAATATGTGTTATTCGTTTTGCCATCATTACCTACGGTGCCTCATATTCAATTACTTGGTATAGACTCATTAGAGAAAGGTACGAGGAAGTTGATTTTGCTGTGCATGCTTTAAGTGTATTTGAAGGTATAGTAAGGAGCCTTCTTTAAAAGCATTTAGCGTTGATTCTGTGTCAAGGTGTGTTTTGGCCCTTTTTGATAAATTTTAAATAATTTATGATTTTTGGGAACTTAAGATAGTTCTGCGGAATAGTATTCTGATTCATTTATCTTGGTTGGATATTGTGGAATGGATGGATAATTTTTTGTTCGTTGGAGAATTTAGTTTGGTTCTTATTAAAGAGTTCAGTTCATTCCTTGTAGTCGAGTTTTTTCCCCAAGTTCAGAGATTTTGGAGTTTCGTTCTTTATAGTGAAATTTGTGTCAAGGTGGAAATTGTTGGATTTGTGACCTAAATTTATCTAGAGTTTGCCTAGTTTGGTGTATTGGGTCTTGAAGACGTCTAAATGGTCCATGGAGGAAAATTGAATTAACAGCGCTAGCTTACTTCTAGCTGGACGCTCGAGCGGCGAGAAGAAATTTTCAGTAGTGAGCTGCCGCTTGCCTAACGCTAGCTTAGTGCTCCACCATTCCGGTTTTCCTTGTTTTGTTTATTCCACTCACTTTTTTTTACCCAGATTCCATCTTAAGAGCTATTATTAGAGTTTGATATGTACCACTATATATAGTTGGCTTCTTTTCGTAGTTAGAACAGGGTTTTACCTCATAATTACTGCAAGTTAGAATTGTACAGGAACACAATATTTTTGTAATTTATCTCTCCATTATTAGTGAGA